GAAATTATTTTTTTAATAAATGACGAACTCTAGTTCTAAGTTTAGGGTATGTGTGTTTAAGGTAAAAGAATATTCATTTAGAAAAAATAATGAATAGAAAAAAAAATTAGAAAAAAAAATTATTTTCTTCTAATTTCATTTAGAAATCATTTAGAAACAAAAATGAATAAAAAATATTACATAGGTTCTGTAGGATATAATCAATAATAATAATAATGTAATAATCATAATAATCATAATAATATAATAAGTAACAGGTGTCGAAAAGAAGAAAAATGTATTTCAATAAAATCTTTTATTTAATAGTAAGTAAAAGCTGGAAAAGTGCAACAAAAGATTGGCTGTATAAGTGCGGCATCGCTATCCTCTCCACTTGGGGGACCCTCCTAGGCGAACCGAGACGCTTGACCAGGAAGCCGTGTAATATGATCCGAACCGTAATATCTGTGTGACTAATAGTAATTCAACGATAAAACCTTTTATTTTTAACTTTATTCCATGTTTGATTGTGAGTCGAGTAACACACGGTGCGATTGATAGCAAAAGTTGTAAAAGTAACTAAGTCGCGGTATTTTCAGTGTTAGATTTGTATTCCACGAAAAAATAAATATCTAAAATTATCACAATAGTATATACAAAGGGTCTAGCCGTATAAGCATAGTGAATCGACCCAAGTAACAATTTCGGTTGATATTGATATCACATATTGCTTTTTGCCTAAACAACAATTGTGTGCAATTTCAACCCCCTACCCCCTCTGATAAGGGAGATATGAGGGTAAAACCCAAAACCTTTACCATTTTTTTTCTCGGAAACTATTTAAGATATTTGATCACGTTAAAGTGCAAATAGTAGGTATTCATTAGTTGTATATCATATTTTTTTTTCAAAATTTTTATTCGATGATTAAGGGTTGAAAATTAATAAATAAATCTTTGAAAATGATTTTTATAAACAATCCCTTGGATGACACCCACCGAAAAAATTAAGAATAATCCTTTACTATTTAACTATTATCTGTAAAAATTTCAAGAGTGTCGGATTGGTACATCATAGTTAAAAATAAATAAAACCAATGCAACGCCCTTTCATAAGGCAAAGCCGGCCTGAACGTTAGAGGCGCTCAACCTAACCGACCTACAGGGGAATACGTAGCGCCGACCAGCCACGTTTCTCGTACCAGAAACAGCTCTCAGAAAAGTATGAGCTCTTCTTTCCCTAAACTGTGTGTTAATTAACAGTCATTTATTTAAATAATATATTAACAATTTAAATTTTTTAATTAAGTTTTCTGGTCTTAATTTTTAACGTCCGTGTTTTCACGGTGTTTCTCGTTTCAGGAACGAGAACAGGTCGAACAGTTGAATGATATTAATGATATCTGATAGTATATCAGATGATCACATTATAACATTTTTTTATATGACATATACGATGTTTCACTTTAATTCATTACTATGTCGTAATATTTCAGTATTGGCAAGTGAACACACGATAGCACATGCTCATTCGTAATGCTTTATTAGGAGCCAGCAGTTGAATTCTCGTTTGCAAGATAACGTTCTTTTTCTAGGAATTAACTCGAGCATAGCTCGACAAAGTAAGATATCTTGCGGCATACCTTTGACATGTATGTATCTCATTTTATCTCGTTGTGCGTATTCTCTTTCTTTATTTACTGAGATATGGCAACGCTAAGCTGAAGGCTGTAAGCAAAGGGGTACAATCCTGGGTTTCGAAGTAATCTTCTGTTACCGTCAACGCGTATTAGACTGTTGTATTGCGAAGTGTTTCACATTTTTATATTAGGATTAAAGCAGATGGCGCCCGTTCTCGAGGCACAAATTCACGAGCCTTTGAGAACAAATCATGTCCAATCTTCTACTATCTATAGTCACTGGCTTCACTGCGTGGCTGCGTCAGATTGTAGATGCGGCCGCACTCGACTACCTCTAGATGTCGTTACCTTCGTTTTTCTTTATCTTATCAGTTTATCAGCTAATCGATCTACGGTTATCGACGTATTATTCCACGTACTTTATTAATCTGCAAAATCGACTTTTTCCACGTAGCTCATTAGTCAATCTAACCTCATACCTCTTTCGTCAGTTTCATTTTCTTTAAGTAACTTATTTCTATGTACCTTTTTAATGGTATTTTCTCTTTCCAGCGGTTGTTTTTGCACCACTGTCCGTTAAGATTTTCCTTCGGAATTGGATGATTTTCGTTGCACTTCTCTCCGACACGTACTGTCTCTATAACTATCGTCACGTAACCGCTCTATTATTATATTTGTTATATTTTTGAGAAAATTTTTTAAAGTTTTCTTTATTTTTTTTAAATTAAAATCATTTATGTCAAATTGTTACTATATATAATATAATTGTATTTAATCGAAATATTTTCCATCATCTTTAATGATTTAATGACTTCTAATATAACGTAACCATGAATGATTTACAACTTATTATTATTTATACAATAAATTTATTTTGTAATGAATGATTCAGATCATTAATTGATCTACATAAATACAAACCTTATAGCTCAATTTCCAATACTGTAAGATCTATTGGAATCTAGAATAATGGTATTAGAATAACATTATTAGAATACAGAATAACATTATTATGTTGGAGGCACTTATAATTAAAGCGATGAAACTGCTTTTTTTTAAATTATAATATTTTATTTAACATTTTAACTAACCATTCTTGTTCTTAATCCCAAAATTTCCAAAAAATGTCTCTTGCACCCCTTTTGTTCTAAATGTTTTATTTATGTAATGATTATTCAGTTTCAAAACATCAGCAGTGACTTGCGCAATATCGAGCATAGTAAGCTTCCCTGGGGAAAATGGTGTTACAGGAGAAGCAGAAATTCTTGATACTTTGATTTTGACGATATTAACATTAAAAGTGATTTAGAAAAAAAAAAATAACATAATTAAATGTTACAAAATTTAGTATGTAACTGAAAAGTACGAAAAACAAAGTAAATATTAGTTCAAATTTTCCCGTGTAAACGTTTATACGCAAATGGCAAAAGGCGGTCGCAAATCTGTACAGTGTGTCCTAAAAAGAATGTTAATCCCGTGAAAGAGTGATCGCTGAGGTGGCTCTGAATAATTTTTTTTTTTTTTCCTTTGCCAAGATGTTGTGGACGTTAAGCGCCTGGTTGGTGAATTGTTACCACTCAGGTAAGCTTGATAAAGTAGACGCGTCCTAGATCAAAATTCCTTACGCCGACAAAGAGTCAAGTGTTGGATCTTCCGTACCCGATAACGATGATTTGAAAAATATGAGTTTGACAGTTCTTCCAATCGCCGTGACCTGGGTGGTGGTGGTTGCTGGGGAGTGGATGGTTAAGTTGCATATACCCGATCGGGTGAGGTGGCATATCCGCGCTTGTCTTCGGACGGCCGGATTCACAATAAACTCTGCCAAGATGTTGGTTAAGGCTAAATTTTTGAATTATTAACGAAAAACACTGGCCAATTAGAGCACACGTAGAGCGCGGGCTGCACCGCCAGAGTGTTAGCTACCGATTACGATCAAACTATGGTCATGAATAAGGCGGCGACAGCACGTCGGTACAATCTGCGACTTCGTTTTCGAGATACAGTAAAACCTGGATAAATGCAACCAAGATTGGGACCCAGTGGTTGCATTTATCCAAGCGAGGTGTCGAATCTCGAGTTACACGCGACAACCAGCCAAGCGCGAACGTAGGAAGGGACAGACAGTGGCGGAAAGAGAGAGGTCCGATGATGAAAGGAAAGAGCCGAAACGTATCGGTGTGACTAATACTAATTCAACTATAAAACTTTTTTATTTTTGACTTTTTTTTATTGAAACTTTTACTAACGCATTGGTGAAATTTTTCTGATTAAAATGGTACCAAACACGATATAGTTTCAATTATAATTACTTGCTAAAATTGATGTTAAAGGTTGGCGAAAAGCAACAGAGATCGAAATCAAAACCAGTCGCGGTGTCGGCTCTGGTTTCAAAGGTTTCATTTATCCAGGCAAGGTGGCGATTCTGGGCATTTAATGTTGCATTTATCCAAGCGAGGTGTCGATTCTGGGCATTTAATGTTGCATTTATCCAAGCGAGGTGTCGATTCTGGGTATTTAATGTTGCATTTATCCAAGCGAGGTATCGATCCTGCGTCCGTACACATGTTTTGTATTCAGCCGACATGCCGATTCTGTCTCCGTACACATCTTTTGTATTCAGCCGACATCATTTATATTCAGTCGTGGTGTCAATTCTATGTTGTTTATTCTATTACTATTGTTTATAAATATAATTCAAACTATATCATGTTTGGTGTCATTTTAATCAGAAAAATCTCACAAATGCGTTAGTAAAAGTTTCATTAAGAAAAAGTTAAAAATAAAAAAGTTTTATCGTTCAATTAGTATTAGTCACACCGATATTACGGTCGGATCATATTACACGGTTTTCTCGTCGAGCGGCTCGGTTCGTCTAGGGGGATCCCCCCAAGTGGAGGGGATAGCGATGTTGCACTTATCCAAGCATTCTTTCGTTGCATTTATCCAGGTTTTACTGTATAAGGAATTGAAAATTGGAATATCAAATTCTGAAACGCGTGTTTAGCTTTCGAACAGTTGATAGCTGAACAGTTGGCCTATTCTCTAGTGTCCTCTTTGTCCGGACACTGACCCAGGATCTGCTCAGCTGTTAGCTGTTCGAAAGCGGAACACTCGCTTCGGAAGTTGATATTCCAATTTCGTCTCCGAGGACGGAGAGGATTCCAAGGAAGAGGAAACCTCCGGAAAGGACAAGAAACCTGAGGAAAGAAAGGCCTACGAGGAGGGTCAGAAAGTCGCGAACCCATGAAGTCTACAGAGAGGGAAGGGGAGACCTTGGGACATAAACATTTTCCTTAGGGAAACCTACTTTGCTCGACACTGTACATTGACATAATATTCTACCATGTGAATAATAAATCAAATTATTTAATGAATATAGGCAGAACCGTTATCTCAGCACCTCTTTGGTCTGGAGGTCGAAAGATGGCGTCCGCTAAGAACTCAACTCTCTCCAGTATTTACATCTGGCAAACTCAAAGGAATCTTTTCCCTGATTCTTGATTGCGCTAAACATTTGGAAAAATATATGGATACTTTAATACAGAAAGGAGAACCCATCGAAATCCGAGAAGTAACAGCCCAATACACGACTGACGTGATCGGTAGCTGTGCATTTGGAATTGAAATGAACTCGATGTCGGAAAGTGAAAGTGAATTCCGCAAAAGGGGCAGAGAAATCTTCGCTACTAACCTTACAACATTTCTGAAAGTCAAAATGAAAGAATGGATGCCACAGTTATATGATTTACTTGGTTATGTACTTCCTAAGAATAAAGCAATGGCATTCATTGAGAGAATCACTATAAGTACGATGGAGTATAGGAAGCACAACAATATAGTCAGATCAGATTTTATAAATACACTTTTGGAGCTGCAGAAACATCCTGAAAGAGTCAACGGTATCCGTAAGTTTTAATGTTTCAAATTCTCTTGGATCAGTAATTAAAGTATAGTGATTAAATTATACTGTTCAACACCTATTTTAATTTAGCGATATCGACTGGTGTAAGTAAATAGGGGACGGGATGAGCTTACCCCTACCACTAAAATGTGAATTGGTTTCTCTCCAAAATATGTAGAGTGGCCTCTCACGCTCTAGCATTTTAAAATTATAAAAATCCAAAATTCCGAAATTTCAGAAATTCAAAATTTCCAATGTTGCACCTCAAAAAATTGCTGGTTGAGTTAATGAGGATATCTGATAAGCGTTTCACACAGACTATCCTGAAATTATCGAGACTATTACATTCTGATAAAATTCATTTTTTATAGCACATTTACATAAAATTTATGGTTCCAACTCTCCAAATAGTTTCAAGATTCGAATTCTTATTAAAGATTGCGAAATATAAAAACAACTAAAATTTATTGGACAGTATTAATTAGGGTTTGATGATCAATGTTTTGCTATAGTAATATTTTGATCGAACTACATGTACGACTGATTTGACTTCATGTTACTATAATTCGACGTGATTTTCTTTAAGTATCATACACTGTATTATTCCTTCTTTCTTTAGAATTGACGGATACTTTACTAGCTGCACAAGCGTTTGTGTTCTTCGCAGCTGGCTTCGAAACTTCATCGACAACGATAGCCAATGCCATTTATGAATTGGCTCAAAACCAAGAGATACAGGATAAATTACGAGAAGAAATTAAAGAATTCGACGCGAAAAACAACGGGGAATGGAATTACGAAACTGTCAAACAAATGAAGTACCTGGATAAAGTTTTTCGAGGTAAGTACTATTTTATTTCAATTGAAAAACAACTTGCACACTATTTGACTGTAGAATATTTTACACTTCAACAGAAATAGAAATATAATAAAATAACTTTTAACAAAAAATACAACAGACTTCAAAATGCGCTCAAAAGTTTAAAATAATTTCTATTTCATTTTTATCAATGCTCCACAGCTATTAATAAAACCTAATTAATCGTTAAATAGTATACTAAATACATTTCAACCTTTTCGGATGCGGCGCAAAATTAAAAACTTTTCTTCTACTAGGAAGATCCTAGCACTGGCGTCGGCAACCTATGACAAATGACCCATTTAATAATTTCACGTAAACAATATTCAACGGGAATCAACAGACCTATTGCGGATTATCTGCATGTACATCAGAAGTGTTGCCAATTTCTGATAAAATCGTTACAATTACAAATGTTTTCAGCCGTACTTATAACGTTCCGCATTTTCTCTTACGACTTATTAATTACCAAGTTCGCGATCAAATCGTTATTGGCAGCATCGTATATACTATTTAATGATTAAATAGGTTTTATTAATAGCTGTGGAGCATTGATATAAACGGAACAGAAATTATTTCACACTTTTTAGTGGAACGTGTAGTATTTGTAGGATAGCGTAAAATGATTTTGCCTTTTTATTGCTTAGCTAATAACCATAAACCGAAAAAAATTGACCGAATTTAGATGGTTAATAAACAACACACTCCATAAATTTTTCCAAGTGGGATCATCTCTGATATATCTCCTACTAAATGTGAAAGGTTTCATCGCGATCGATACATTCCTTGTAGAGCGAACGCCGAAAAATATAAATGAAGCAGTACGTTTTTTGCGATAAAAGTCGTTAGAAATGAAAAAATGCAAAATATTCTTTTGCGGGACCAATTGGGAGAAATACTCTACAAGATACAAAAATTTTCGTTTCGATTGGTCCATCCGTCTCGGAGTAATTGGTGAACATACGCCGAACGTATATGAAATAGTACGTTTTTTGCAATAAAAATCATCAGGAATGATAAGATGCTAAATGATTTTTTAACGGGACCAATCGGAAGACACTCTACAAGATGCAAAAGGTTTGGTTCCGATTTGTCCATTCGTCTCGGAGTAATCAACCAACATACATAAAAAAAAATATATATATATATATATAGATACTGATGGAATTGAATAACCTCCTCCTTTTTCGAAATCACTCAAAAAAGAATTATTGCAGGATTATATTCACTATTTTTTAGTAGATTGTTTCTTGATTTGTTTACAGAAACTTTAAGGAAATATCCGCCACTGGTATTTATAAGCAGAAAGGCAACGAAAAATTACACGTTCGAAAACCCGAAGTTGACAGTCCTTAAGGACGCCAAGGTATGGATACCTCTATTTTCAATTCACAGAGATCCGGAAATTTACCCACATCCAGACAAATTTGACCCAGAAAGATTCTCAGAAGACGCAGTGAAAGTCAGGCACCCCATGCACTACATACCCTTTGGTAATGGCCCAAGAAACTGCATCGGTACGTATAAATGAATAATTTAATTATAAGCTCGTGATAGATGACATAGTATCTGCAAAAAATGATATTCATTAATAGTATCATGTTTCAAAAGTTATAGAGTATCGAGCAGAGTAGGCTTCTCTAGGGAAAATGGCGTTATAGAGCAAACAGGAATTCTTAAAATCTTAATTTTGGCGATATTAATACCAAAAGTGATTTAAAAACAAATAGTATGATCTTTTATTGTTAAATGTCATAAAATTTAGTATACAGGGTGTTACCTGTAACGTTACTCACGATTTTTCACCCACTTGTAGCCACCTGACAAAAAAAATTTAGAACAAGAGATTCAGCAATCTCTTCGGGGTCAAATAATGTTTACACTGTCAAAGTCAAATACGACGAAAAGCTAAATATTTCACATTTCCACTTCTGTAAATCAAGTAATATGTTAGTAAAAATATCATGTAATATGTGTTTTGAATTGGTCTCGATGTTCTCTAAATATGGTAAACAAAAAAAATATACGGTCCTATTTATAAAACCCAAGGTGACCTTGACTTCGCCATGAAAACAAACTGTTTTCGAAATTTGTTTTACTGATATCTATTATGCACTTCATACCCTGCAACTCTTGTTGTAAACTTTTTTTTGTCAGATGGCTGCAAGTGGGTGAAAATTCGTGACTAACGTTACAGGTAACACCCTGTATATTAAGATAATGTGAATAATGAAATAAACTTGAACTTCATGCGTAAATGGTGTAGCTGATCTAGAGTCGCCACTGTAGCTGAAGTGGCCACTTGAATTTTTAATAGTACAGTAATGCATCTGACGTTGTCTGTAAGCTGAGAAGCGAAAATGGACAATACGGGTAGAACAGATACTACAGTAAAAACTGGATATATGCAACAAACATTGGAACCCAAACGTTGCATATATCCAGCCGAGGTGTCGATTCTGGGCATTTAATGTTGCATATATCCAGCCGAGGTGTTGATTCTGGGCATTTAATGTTGCATATATCCAGTCGAGGTGTCGATTCTGCGTCCGTACACATCGTTTGTATTCAGCCGCGATACCTATTCTACGTTCGTACACAACATGCGACGTCTTGCATGTTGCATGTTGCGTGTTTGATGCATCTTTGGTGTACGGCCTGCCTTATACATATGTAGCCGAGGTGTCTATGTTGTTTATTCTATTATTATTGTTTATTTATTCTGTTATCATTCTGTTATTACTGTTAGCTTGTAAATTACTTTAATTTTCAATAGGAAGAAACTGTCCGGTTTCATGGAAATCACGGGCTGTTCCTAACATCATAAAGCACCTAATTTGCAGGCAATAGTTCAGCAGCATATTCAGAATAAATAAATAAATAAATGAATATAATTCAAACTATATTGTGTTTGGTATCATTTTAATCAGAAAAATCTCACAAATGCGTTAGTAAAAGTTTCATTAAGAAAAAGTTAAAAATAAAAAAGTTTTATCGTTGAATTAGTATTAGTCACACCGATATAACGGTTCGGATCGATTACACGGCTTCCTCGTCGAGCGTCTCGGTTCGCTTAGGGGGATCCCCCCAAGTGGAGGGGATAGCGATGTTGCATATATCCAGCCAATCTTTCGTTGCATATATCCAGCTTTTACTGTATTTCTCGAGCCTCGCGACATAAAAACCGTAACAGCTAACAGATTAACAATAGTTTAACTTTCCTATTTCTAAATTTTTCTGCATGCAAATTGTTTTAACATATTGGTACAATTCATTTGATTAAAATGAGACCAAACATTGCATAGTTTGGGGGTGTTCCCTTGTACATAAAGTAAGTAAATATGATCCAAATTATAATGTGTTTGGTCTTATTTTAACCAAAAAGGTATCAACAATATGTTAAACAAATTTATGGGTAAAAAAAGTAAAATTAAGAAACTTATATGTATTGCTTTATTATAAACTGAACTCTCATCAAAGAAGCCGCGTCGCGTGTTGCGTGACTCACTCCAATGAAGAGAACATGGGTGTCGGATGCGATATACATAGGGGTAGGAAGAAATCAGTGGACAAAGTACCATGCAAAGATGAGAAGTTGACGGGCGGAATGGCACAGGGGCAAAGGGAGTATTTCGCACGCTCCACCCAGTCCCAACATTTTATCCTCGCGTAATCCATACCATTCGACTTTAGTAGCACGCTCTCACATAGGCGTAGCAATTCCGTATTTCCGAGGAAGGCAGTACTATTGTAGATAAAATTCACCGAAACGCAGACGTCGTATCATCTCACTTTGTCTCGAAGCGTCTTTGTCAGGCGATGCAATTAAGGGGGTAGACACGGCACGTGACCTCTCCGATTCGGGACGTCGGTATTACAGCAGTTTTTTCGTTGGGCCTAGTGGAGCCACTTGCGTGGTCTGGTACGAACTTGAAAGGTTTAATTCTCAGCTAGCGTGCGCGCAACACGATCTAGGAAGGCAACAGCGCCTCAAGCATTTTTACAAACACATTCAAACGCTCATCTCGCCAGAGGCATCGCGACGATCCGCCTGAAGAACGAAAGCGAAACATTGGCGCGTGGTTAGAGTGAGATGTAGGGTGATCATGCTATCCTTCTTTCAACCTAAATGATAGAATTGTCCCGCTCCGATAAATTCTGACTGACTGAACGCGTGGATTTTATATAGCGCACCGTAGCACCCCTCGCTGCTGAAAAATATATGCCTACTCTGAAGAACCGAAGGAACGTGCAATCTGAGAAACTTTTTAGAAAAAGTTATTAACTTCTTTAAATAAATGTTTCTTAATTAATAAAAATATACAGGATACGTCATGCAATTTCTGACGGGTTATATCTTGAATTTGATAAGAGATAGGAAAAAGCTGTTTATGTAAAAGTTCAATGGTATGATAATGTCTATTTTTCTGTGATGTCATCTTCTCCGTGAATGCAACGATGCACTCAAAAATGCAAATCCACTTTTTATTTAAATGGAATTGCATCAATTTTTACTTGTGTCAACTCCTTGAAACATTCTGCATAAAAAAGTACTAAGTATGGTACTATTAGAACTAATAAATGGAGGGACCTGGCATATATTCAGCCGAGATGTCAAATCTCGAATTAGATGCGACGACCAGCCAAGCGTGAACGTAGAAAGGGACAGACAGTGAAGGAGAGAGAGAGCGGTCTAATGATCAAAGGAAAGAGCCGAAACGTATCGGTGTAACTAATACTAATTCAATTATAAAACTTTTTTATTTTTGACTTTTTTTTACTGAAACTTTTACTAGCGCATTGGTGAAATTTTTCTGATTAAAATGACACCAAACACGATATAGTTTGAATGGGGTGAGGTTTGTTATGGGGCGCTGTGGAAAATCCAGGCGGGCGGCAGTCATATCTTAGCGAAAGGGGACAATCTCAACATTCAGAATGAGAGAAGGACAGCATGACTATAGTGCGTCTCACTCAGCGTTCGGGCGATGTTGCCTTTTTCGCTTGCCTTCGTAGCACAGTTCGAGTGACGTAATCAAGCTAACGCTTGATTCTGACTACGATTCCAAATCGGCAGCCTTTCTACTTAGACGCCACCTTATAACTACTAGCTGAACTAAATTTGTCACGTGACTTGCTCTGTAATATCCAGATAATGGCGGAACTCGTCTTTGGGAATGCTTTTACAGGAATCGGTTATTCGTCCTTATACGAGAAGATCTTGAGCTGAATAAGGGCTCATTCGAAAGAGGAAGGTTCAATGCAGGGCGGTCAACTCACCGTTTGAGTCACAAAACTCTTTTAGTGGCCTAAAAATGCTTCCAATTTGCAACTGCATGTTGTCGATTTTTTCTTCTACTTTTGACACTGATATTATTAAATATGCACATAATCTCGTTAAACCATGAGTTGACCGCCCTGCATTGTACCTTCCTCTTTCGAATGAGCCCTTACCCAGCCCTATGTATTCTCATATAAGGACAAATAACCGATTCCCGTAAACCCATTAATAGGCCCGTTTTTGCCGGTAATGTCACCTCGCTGCATTACCCGTGTCTACCCCCTTAATATGTGTGACCGCATCGGCCAATAGCGCGTGACGATCTAGAATGCATGTGCGTGAGGAGTGACTTATCGACCATGACCAATCGTACACGCATTCCTTAACCTCGTCAACTTCTCATCTCCCTATAGTACATATCGAAGAAGTACCCATAAACGCAGAAAAGCCTACGCGGTGGAAGTATAGCACTTTTTTCTGGGCAAGCCTACCATGCTCAGTACTTATTGTAAGTACATGTATGTTTTTAAGCCACAAATTGTACAGTAGTGGTGACGAACCGAGCTATGTTCGTCCCTACATTGCGAACGATTGTCGGGCTTCTCGTCCTTCTGAGGTTGTAAATTTCAAAACAGCCTCAATGGCTCACAGTCTTTCGCGACGCGTGTTGTTTCGCCAAACTAATTTTGAAATAATAATTAATATTTCTAAATCACGAACGTTTGACCGATTGTAGCGTGTGGAAATTACGTTGTTGCTCGTCGAAGCGTAAAAATGTAAGTGTCGCTCCGTCGTCGTTTTTCATCGAAGTTGATTTTTCCCGTCTCAGGGAAACACGCATCCGCCCTTCCTTGCACCCTTGACGCGATTTTGTCTAGAAGAGGGTGGGGTGACACTTGAGGTCCGCGAGGACTTCGAAAGTTCGGTGACGCCGGGGTTTTTCCATCCAGGTTGACCCTCGAAGGTCAGGTACCGCTAGTCGACCGCTGTCGAATTACCCTTCAGGAAAACCCAATTTATGACATGATTTTAGCTATTGAGAACGAAGTGAAAATTAAAACTCTAAATCCATTGTACGAAAAAGGTAAACGACTATTGCCGGCAATATTAGAAAGTTTGTTCAAAAATAGCTTTCCGTCGCGAACCGTCATAAATCCGCCATAAATGACTTTCAAAATCCTCGTAAAACGTGTTCCTCGGTGCGGAACAATAGACTCGCGTTTTATTGCCACGTGAGCGACTTGACGGTCACATGAATTGTACAGCATACTAGCGCTATCTTTTTCCACCATCATAGTTTATGAAAATGATACATTTCTATCCTCTCTCCCTCCCTCCTTCAAATGATAGCTTAGAAGCTTGACAGATTTTCCACCCCTACTGTTTCCTCGCCGGCAACATAACGATAGTCTACTACACTATAGTACTTTTTACTGCAATTTGTTGAATTAACATCGTACTATATGTTCATAAAATTAGAAGCAGTCGTTACAATGAAATATCCTAATCGAAATCTGAAAGAAAACAATAAATGACTTTTATTCTAATCCATTATTTTTTGTAAGTAACAACCAGCTATTTTGTGTTAAGAAATGATAGAAAGCTTGTTCTACATATAATTATCATTGAACTTTAAGAGAGTCAATAATTGATTAAAAAGTACTTCGATTGTTTATTTTTGATGTTATTACTTTGTATTTTCTATTTCAGGTACACGATTTGCAATTTACCAATCAAAAATTGGCATAATAACTATTCTTCGTAAGTTTAAATGCGATATTTCAGAGAAAACTGAAATTCCTTATGAATTTGACCCTATTGCATTTATAATGTGCCCGAAAAATGGACTGTATATCAAAATAACGAAGCTAGAAAGTTAGTATTTACAACAGGTTGTAACTTTATACAATCGAGATATTGTTAACATTGTTGAAATATTGTCAATTTGTAAATAAATATTATGTATTTACAAGAATTTACAGAAACAATGGAGATACCTTTTTCAAAATATTATGAAACATTAAATATGACTATGCTCATTATTTAGAAAACTATTTGTAATTTTTTTATCCGACTTCGAAAAGGAGGAGGTTACTCAATTCGATCAGTATATATTTTTTTATTTTGTGTATTTTCGCCGATTACTCCGAGACGGATGGACTAATCGGAACGAAACCTTTTGCATCTTGTAGAGTATGTCTCCCAATTGGTCCCGTTAAAAAACATTTTGCATTTTTTCATTATCAAGGATTATTATGGCAAAAAACCGGAAGTTTCTAATCTCAACATGGATGATTTCAATGACCCTTTAATATGTTGTCGGGGACATGATGCCGAAGAACTTTTTCATTATGTATAATTAACTGAAAGCTTTAGTTTCCGAGATATTCGTGAAAAACTATTGTTACTACTACATTGAATTCTACATATGCCTACGTGTCTCTACCTGTTGTATGAATCAGCATGCAGGCGCCGATTCTCTACTGTTTCTATACATGTATACTCTGCAAGGAATGTACCGATTGCAATAAATGAAACCTTTCACACCTAATAGGAGATATTTCCGCGATATTTCACTTGCAAAAATGTATGCAATTTATTATTGTTATAACTATTGTTATAACAAAAACCCTATTTCTTGGTGTTACTTTGCACGGAATGTACCGATCGCGATGAAACCTTTCGCGTTTAATAAGAGATATACATACAGGGTGTCTCACTTAAACGGATACAGAGCTCTTATTCCGTAACTATTAATGATACAAAAAATTATTGATATGGAAATTGCATGAGAAAAGGGGGTCTATGTTTTGGCCGAAGTGAAAAATCTTTTGCATTATTAGTTTAAGAGATATGATGGTCAAGTTTTGTTTTTTAAATAGAATCATCTATTTTTTTCAGATCATGTAATAGTACTTCTCAAGACGAATTCATTAAGCTATAATGTATACACTCGATTTTAATCAGTTTTCAAGATATAACGTTTACAAATTTCCCGATTTTCAGTAGATACGACTCGGTTTGAGTGGCAAGTCGTAAAAGCGGCCCTATTGTTGCGGTTTCTTATTCTTTGGGTCTGCCGTTTCTAGCGTAGACCCCCGCTGTGGCACTTGCCGCTAAAATAGGGTCACTTTTACGACTTGCTACTCAAACCGGGACGTATCTACTGAAAATCGGGAAAATCGTTATATCTTGAAAACTGATTAAAATCGAGTGTATACATTATAGCTTAATGAATTCGTCTTGAGAAGCACTATTACATGATCTGAAAAAAAATATATGGTTCCATTTATAAAATAAAACTTGACCATCATATCTTTTAAACTAATAATGTAAATAAATTTTCGTTCACACCAAGACATAGGCTTCATTGAACCGTGCAATTTCCATATATACAATTTTTCATATCATCAATAGTTACGAAATAAAACGCCTGTCACACTTTAGCGGGGACACCCCGTATACCCGGATACGATGGCCAAAAGTGCCCCCAAACCAAATTCGACTCGTAATGGCTCATTCGATAGCTTGTCAAAAAAAAACAATCTGTGTCAAGTTTCAGCCCTGTATCTGGGGGGGGGTACAGGATTGCCTCGAAATAATCAAGTGGCTCGGGACCGAACAGTTGCTTATTTCGAAACAGGTATGCTATTCGACTGTATATATATTCCATCCTTCTTTTACTGACCGATGTCACTGCTCAGTCAAGCGTTTATTACCCTAACCATTGGCTTCCCGCATTCATGGACCTCACACTCATTTCTCGTACCTCTCTGTTCGCGTTTCGCAGTGTTTTTGCATGTTCAGCATGTTGCCTATCTAGCATGTCGAGCATGTGTGGCTTTTGCATGTTGAGCTCGAGGGGTTAGATTTATATTTGGCGCTGCGCGGGGGTGCATGCGGGGTCGCTGTCACGCAGCAAGGCGCAGGCGCGAGCGACGGATCGGTGGTGGCGATGTATGGCCCGGGGCTGGGCCCAGGCATTGAGACCGTGATCGGTACTCTGTGCAATTGGAACGTTTTGTTGTGTTTTTTGAATTACGATTTGTGCCACAGTTTTGATTTTAATCAGACTTTAAACGTGTGGCGAGTGCGATTGTGCGTGCGTCCTCTGTTCTGAAGCACTACGTGCTGTCGTGTGTTCTACACGGCCCGGCGATCTTGTGGGAGAGTCAGACGGCCAACTGTGTGCAGTGATTGGTACGGCACAGTGCGGCGATCGGCTGGTTCTGTTCACCTGGCTAGCCGTGCAGAGAGTGACGCGTGTTTACGGTCACTCTGTCCCCGATTGCGCGACCCTTCCTGTGATCAGGAAGTTTCTTTTCGCGAGGACCACGGCGATCTGCGGTGACGGCGGCGAGGCGCCATTCCATTAAGATTTAGGTAAGAGAGATCTCTCTGCGTGCGCTATTTTTAAGCATTGAATGATCATTCAAATTCGTTTATGTATCTCTAGTTTTCGTAAGTTCTACATTGCATTATTTGTAGTTTTCTCATTTTCAGGCATTCAATTTGATTTAATTTTCTTTTATTGGGATCAGGCTTTTTCCCCACTTTCGACTGGGGTTTTTTACAGCCGGTACCCGTAGAGTAGAGGCATTTAATTTTCAATCAAATAAATACATTTATTTTCTTTTGTTCTTCTAACATAATTTTTGTGTACAATTTATTTATTACCGGTGACACCAATTCCACCTCATATCCTACCCATTCGATATTCCGGTTAATCGGAACACTCTCACTTTGCGGGCGATTTCAAACAAAGAAGACGGGATAGCGAGTTGCTTATTTCGAAGCAGAGACCACTTGCTTATTTCGAGGCAATCCTGTAATGGGCAAAAATCAAAAACACACGTTTTGGTCAATTTCTCTTATATTTGTGCATGAAAAATTCTGAAAAAAATCTGAGATATTTCTATTCATGAGGCACATATTATACTAGCTTTGCAGATTTTTAGATTGAAAACCCGAGCTGTAAATAATCAAATACCCCACAAAATTCGGATAAATGGCGATTTTGTATGGAAGGAGTCGCAGATCAGGATTCATATTTTTTTTATAAGTGTATATTATTGATACTATTATTCTCAATTTGTTTGAGAATTTTTGGTCAGGTGCGCCATAGTTAAAAAAATTAAAAACCGAATTTTTCGCTGTCTTTTGCGTGTCAGAGTTACTTGTACTTACTGGTACTTCGTCTGTTCTTTATCACGTAAATGTGTTATACAATGTTCAATGTTTTTACGTACAGTGAAACGGAATAAGAATTTAAAAAACTAAATAAACTAGAATTATTGAAAGTACTTTATGTGAGTTATATCTCAAAAAATCAAAAGGTTTTTCAACGGTGTCGGTGGTCCAGCGGTTCAGGCGCCTGACTGCTAAACCGCTGCTAGGGTTTTCGTAGGTTCGAATCTGCACAAATATGAAATAAAGAATATTTTTATTCAAAGTATCCAGAATTAATTTCACCAGTATAAGTTATATCAACACTTGTATAACTTCCCCTTCTTGAGGTAACAGCAAGTTATTATTACCAATCACATGAGACCTTGATTATAACGTCTGATTTTCAGATGACGTGACACGGTTTGTTGCTCATGTATCAGTTGAGATTCAAGTGTTATGTACAGCAACTTTTACGAAGATCCTACAGTTCCTTTACCTATAGTGAGTTAACACTAGAACTATCGACGTTTGATACACACTTATTTTTAAGTTGAAAATAATGTAGATTACTAAATAGATAAAAGATAAGACATAATATATCCATTTCAACAAAAATACCTCGATAAATAAGGTATAATATAATTTAAAATAAGAAACTGGAAATTAGTCATTTTGACCTCTTTGATAATTCCAGTGTTAATAATTTGTGAATACTACATATTGAAACAGTGGTGCAAATAAATGTGTGTATAGGATTATATTATGAATTGCTTACTCATGGCGAATCAGAGAGGATTGTTATCTACTTACGTAACAATCAACTTAATTTACCTACTTGTCAGCTACTGAAGTATACAATAAATGAAGGAACTATACATAGAATTCTTTTTCTTACATCTATTTATAGTTATACTTTGCTTACATTGACATTGATAACTATTATACTTACATAATATGTTAAACATACTTGTACATTTTCGTTCATATGTTATGTTTTCACATTTTCTCCGATTATTAACTCACATGTTTACATATTTATAGAGTTAGGCATATTTACAAGTAATGAATAATACATTAATTGCAAATAATGAATAATTTATCACTCGAATTGAAATTATTAATGCAACAAAGTTTTTTGAGAATGACGAATCATCTTTTATTTGAGTAATGTAAATGACCAATTTAAATAATAATATAACAAAATTCGTCATTCGTTATTCGTCATTCTCAAACAACTTATATTGATTTTTAATACATAGATGCTACTGTGCTATACTTGCAATTTTTATGGGCTGTTTGTTCAGAAGTTTCTTAGTGTTAGATGTAAAAGCAATGTTTTTTAAATAACATGTGCTGTCATCAACACTTGAACACATAAATGTTATCCTGTTGCTATCCTGTGATAGCATTTAAAAGCTAATGTTTCAGAAATTAATAAATAATTTAAATTAATTTCAGTATAAAGGAATAAATTACATATTAATTTATTTTCTTTCATATTTTTATTAATTATTAAAATTCTTCGTTTTGTGTAATCATTCTTATTTGACATAATAACATCATAGGAATCACCAAAAACTTGTTTATACAAATAATGCCAATTGTTAGAATCATTTTAAGTTTGCTTTTTGTTACGATTCTAAATTAGCAACTTTTTTAATTAAACGCTACCTTGTATGTACTAACCGAGCTAAGCTTGTAAGCGATCAATGATCCCATCGATACGACACATAATGTTGGGGCCTAGAGTCGCCCGCCCTCCATCACGTCTAGGTGCTAGTCGCGCAGGCGTAAGACTCTCCTTCGCTGCCGTGAGCACCGAACGAGGTGCCTGCTGATGCCCAGGACGAGCACTTGTCGTCGAGACCTCAATGCGATCAGACGCACTTTCAGCTCAAGTAAAATCAGTCGAAGTATCCGCACTCATCGCAAGGCAACCAGCAGCTACGAGACATCGTGCTCTGGTATCGCTTCCGAGACTGCTCCTGTGCTCCTGAACAACCAAAGACGATTTCTCGTATCAACCAGATTCTCACGAATCCGCCCGAGTAGAGGAACGTAACAAGCGAGCCATGAGGCGTGAGAGAAAGTCGGTGCCCGCGTTCGAGTTAAAGTTACTAAAATAAATCGAGAAGCTCGACGGCAGGTTTCCGCTTAGTTGTACGAATATCAAACGTGAGCGTATTAGCGTCTGCGAGCGGCACGTCGTATTCTATCGTCGAATTATGTTTGCAAACTCTCCTCGAATGTCAAGGACAATCGCGTCGTTAGAGCTATTTACAGGTATTTTCGCGTAGATTGAAAGTAACGGTTACGAGAGTCGGGCAGCGTACTTCTGGAATGTACGACGGCAGGCTGTCAGAACGAAAGAGAATAAATCGAATTGTCAAGATTTCCTCGATTAAACCTGTAAGTGTCTCTTAGTTATTTCTCTCCTTCTATAAATCTATCTACAACCTCCTCTTGAAGGAAGAGTACGGTTACAATTGGCGCCCGAACAGGGGACTCGACGATTATTAAGGGGGCGAGAGGAAAAGATTACGCGCCGGAAAATGAGCAAGGGAACGCGAGCAAAGGCGAAAACCCAGGCGAGCATAGACCGCGACGCGTCAACCGATAGAGACGAGCGAGCTGAGGAAGCAGATGTAACGGGATTATTTAATATGCCGCGAATCCCACGGTCACCGGTAACTAACCCCGCGAATCAGAGCTCAGCGAACCAAGGGGACACGGCAGGGAATGCTCAGAGCCTCGCGGATCAGGAAACCCAAGGGGCGACGACGTTAAACGAAGTCACGAAACTGGTTCGGGAAATGCAGGATAGACAGGAACGGCGAATCAAACAATTAGAAACAAACGTCATGACTAAAGTCGACACGTTCGTCAACCGCGAATGCGAAGCCCTTTCTCAGACAGTTATGGTGTTTCACAAGGAAGTTCGCGAGGATATTCTGAAATTCCGGGACTCGTTGGCAGACCTCGTAAACGCGGTCGCGAATAGACAGAAGCAGGTGATAGGCCCCAACTCGGTGACCCAGACGAGCGCAGGCGGGGAGGGAAACCCAGCCATTCTGGAAAATCCGTGCAGCAATAGGAATGGGAGCGCCCAGGCAAGCTCGGTGCCTCAAGGACGGCTATTCACGGTGAAACCCCAACTTCCTGTATTCCTTCGCGAGCTAGAGAGATTCGTGAGGGTAACGAGAATCCCGGATAGCGAAGTCCATGTCATTATAGACTAGGCGCTGAAGGGGTTCGCGAGCGAATGGTGGGATCTGATCTCGGGAGAAGTTCACACGTGGGATGACTTCCGAACAAGATTCCTGGCCCAATTCTGGGGTGCGGCATTCCAACGGAGCATCCGCCGTGAACTCGAGTCGGGTTTCTTTCGGGCGAACCAAGGCGTAACGCGAGCCCAATACGCGATGCGCTTATCAAACGGGGGCTTACCAAACGCTGGACTTCTTCACACACACCGTATCGCACTTGACAATTGGTGCGCGCCCGATCCGCTTTTCCAACACGCTCTACCTTTTCTACAAATCACTCGGACGCTCGCCTACTACTTTATCTCGCTCTCTTACTCGCACTCTCGAATCCAAAAATCTCTATCGCTTTGAAAATCTCTACAGTCACTCTATCGCTTTTAGTCGCCTAAGGCTAATTGCCGTCGCAGGGAATTTTTGGGGAGGGGATGGGGTTGGATTGGGACCTCTTCCAGGACTTGGATTGATCTATGATCGATCGGCCGGTAAGCGGGAGCGATAGGGCTGACGGAGACTCGACGGTGACGGCTGCGGGTTGTCGTCTTTGGACTCGGCGACAGATGGCTCCATTCGGCTGCTTTTCCGCTGTTGGTGGGCTGATGGACCTTTGTTGTGTGTCCAGGGTTGCTCCCTTTCTGGGGAGGGATGCTGGTGCTGTCACCGGCCTTGAAGCTCCTTTTCCTGGTGGCAGCTTGTTGGGGTTTCCTCCGTCGTCTCCGTCGGCCCGTGACCAGCGGGTGGGAAAAGAGGGTGAGGTGAGGGAAGGGTTATTTGTGGGTTATAATATCGGAGCGGGAAGTGAGAGAAGCGCAGCGATTGTAACGGGGGGGCACGCATGACACCACGTTACAAAGCATAGTGAATCGGCCCCAGCAACAATTTCGGTTGATATTTATACCGCATAATGCTTTTTGCCTAAACAACAATTGTGTGCAATTTCAACCCCCTACCCCCTCTGATAAGGGAAATATGAGGGTAAAACCCCAAAACTTTACTATTTTTTTTCTCGGAAACTATTTAAGATATTTAAACACAATAAAGTGCAAATAGTAGGTATTCATTAGCTGTATTTCATATTTTTTTTCAAAATTTTCATCCGATGATTAAGGGTTGAAAATTAATAAATAAATTTTTGAAAGTGATTTTTATAAACAATCCCTTGAGTGACACCCACCGAAAAAAATTAAGAATAATTCTTTACTATTTATCTATTATTTGTA